ATATGTATGGTGTCTCAGTTAGTTTTCTTCAGCTACGTACATTTAACGTCAGCTACAAAGAGAATTTTAGCATTTTTTTCGTTCTATTTAATGCGACAGTTGGTTGATCAAATGGAACAGAACGACATCTAAACTTTAAAACAGTCACATTAGGGAAGCTTTTATGGACTTAAAACGTTGCACTTGGAAATAGCTCTCAAGCTAGAAAACTTAATATTTGATCGTATTTATCGAAATTACGAAATGACGTTAAAACCGAAAGATGCTCAACGATTACGATTTCATACAGCCATTTTCCTTTTTCGATTTCTTTTTTTTTATATTGTTCTTCAAATGTTGCACAGATTATATTACATTGTTTAAAAAACTCTTTTATTTGTATATTTTCGGCATATATAGATATTATTTTACTCCTTGCTAAATCTGTTCTTTAAACAACAAAACTTATTTCACCTGTTTTAAACCACTCGCGCCACTATACAGTATTGTGTTGTCTGTCATCCAGTCAGTAGACACTAAAATGACGTCACATAAGGGACGCTTAACGTTGCAATTTGTACTGCTGTGACGTAAGTAAAACGTACGCATGCCATGAATTACGAGAACAATTATGCACTCCTAAGACTATAACAAAGCATGACATATGAACTTCCAAAGCAAGATATGAAAATATATGTTATTCTTAATTTTAGTTTCATTTATTCTTCAAAACACTTTCGTGGATCCTGCCGAAGTACATCTAGTCACTTTGATTCTATAGACGTTCTTTACAATTATTTACAACCATCTGTTGTCTACTTTTCCCTTGAAACACACAAACAAAACCGATTACAAAAGCTTTGAACAAATATTCACAACAAACTTACCCCATGAAAAATCTCCCGATGGGACAGCGGTAAGTTTAACGTATAACGCTAAAATCCAGGGTTCGATTGCCCGCGGGACACAGGAGATAGCCCATTTTGGCTTTGCACTAAAACAATCAACCGTCATGACAAAGTTGTGATGTTTTACATTTAAATATAAATCTGATTATAAAATGTCTCTAATACATTGTAAAAAAACAAACCCAATAGTAAGTGTTACACCCTTTGGTGGTTTCAAGATTTTATAATAAGAGTCATATTCTCTGAAATTACGTCGTCGTCATTGTAAAAAAACAAACCGAATAGTAAGTGTTACACCCTTTGGTGGTTTCAAGATTTTATAATAAGAGTCATATTCTCTTAAATTACGTCGTCGTCATAATATTTTGCCTAATATATACTTGAAGCCTAAATTAAAGCTATTACAACATATCACAGTGTTAAATTATATAATTCTTTGTCTGTGGTTAAGCGCAAAGCTACACAGTGGGCTATCTCCGTGTACCCACCACGGGTATGTTAAATAAACTGACTCACTGATATACAGAACTCGGAAAATGTTTACATTTAAAGAATTATTATACTACCTAGCTATACAAAGAATGAAACATTAAATCTAATTGACACTAATTCAACTGCCTTTTAACGGTGTTAAACGAGATTCGCTTAATAAATAAATCTTGACCAAAATAAATAACTATTACATAGACTATCACGTCTATACTGTCATAGAAGAATACTTTACACGGTGTAAATCTAATGTTCATGTTATCACTTGTGTAGTGGGATTTGCAAGGAAGCCCAAGTGGTAACTAATCATTGTAATTGGGCACATTTCCGCACCTGCATATATGGAACAAAACCATAACATCAAAGAACAAAAATCAGGAATAAACCTAACCTTTGCACCAAAAAGAACTTAGAGTGGCTAGAACAAAGACATAATTCCAAACATCTTTTTCAGTCTCTCAGAGAACCTAAATCAGTTTCATAAAAACATCTGATCTAATTAATCATTGTAATTTGGCACAGTTCTGCACCTGCATATATAGAACAAAACCATAACATTAAAGAACAAAAATTAGGAATAAACCTAACCTTTGCACCAAAAAGAACTTAGAGTGGCTAGAACAAAGACGTAATTCCAAACATCGTTTTCAGTGTCTCTCAGAGAACCTAAATCAGTTTCATAAAAACATCTGATCTAATTAAATAATGTTACATTAAAAATTTTATAATTTTCTTCTTGAAATGAGTTTGTTTAAAATAATGTAGTAAATATCAATAACAAAGATTAGAAAGAATAATTTGGATGGGAAACAATCTCACCTCATATTGTTAAATAATAAAATGATACTATCTTATATAATTAGGACTAGGGATACATTCGTCCTCAGAGTTCGAAATATGTTTTCGGTTGTGGTATTTTATATTTAACTGCACAAAATTTATGAAATGTAAAGGCAATGTTGTGTGTTTAAAGTAATTAAAACAGTTAAGTGACCTGCCTGGATTACTCACGTAAGAGGTTAGGTAGGCAAAGTCTAAATGAATCTGGTGGCCGTGCGGGGAGTCTCAATGACTGTGAGGTTAAACCTATTCCACAATACGTGATACTCACCAAACACCTCTAGTACAAAAGACACTCTAAGTCAAATAGTGTGAGAAAAAAATGACAAAGTGATCGACTTATCTATTAACAGATATCAGATCTAGTGACACTTTCGAAACCTGGGTATCGGGGGCAAGTTTTAAAA